AATGCAGCCCAGATAAAAAGAGGGTGTGGCAGAAGGAGATTACTCCTTTTTCTTGCTGGCCTCCCCTATTCCCATAGAGTTGATTTGCTGTGGTAGTGCTATGAGAACCAGTGTTTCCAGGCTTCCATTGTTGAGTAAGGAACAGCGGCTGCCCAGGTACCCAGGTATTCAGTGCCATATTGGGACCCATGAGGCAGTCAGCTCCGTGCACTGAGCAACCACCAGGTTCTCAGCCTTCCAAGTGTGAGACAACTGTTATTACTGCTTCATGTAATCTGACTTAATAAATCACACACACACACACACACACACACACACACACACACACACGCACACACACATGCACACACGCACTCATCCTGTCCTATCAGTTCTATCCCTCTAGAGAACTAATACAATATTATTTCATGAAATTTTTAGCTCATATCAGATACCAGTTATCTCAACTTCCTTTCCTGTGACTATGACAAAAGAAACTCAAGGGGAAGAGGGTTTAGTTCACTTCACAGTTCAAAGATAAATCAAGGCACCAGGAGGCTGGAGTAGTCCGTTATAGCTCACATAAAGTCAGGGAGCAGAGAGAAATGAAGATTTACCATCTCCATCTTCTGTAGTCCAGGATCTCAGCCTGACGGAATAATACCACCTGACGGCTCTTCTCACCCCAACTTACCTCATCAAGCTAATTCCCCAGCTGACTAACCTAGCTAACAGTGCACAGGTGTGCTCAGAAGTGACTCTCCTGGGTGATTCTAAAACCTGTCAAGTAGACAATTAACACTAACCTTTACACTAATATATGAATGTACATCCTGGGTTAGACTGCCAATGAGCCTCAGGCCCAGTTTTAAAATGTCTGGAAGGTCCTGCTGTACTCTCCTGCACTGGGAGGCTAAACTTATATTTGATAGGGCTGACAATTCAAAATAGAGTTTAACCAAGAATGTCAATAAAAAGAAAATTGTGGGGCTGGAGAGATGGCTCAGTGGTTAAGAGCACTGGCTGTTCTTCCAAAGGTCCTGAGTTCAATTCCCAGCAACCACATGGTGGCTCACAACCATCTGTGATGAGATCATGCAGGCAGAATACTGTATACATAATAAATAAATAAATCTTTTAAAAAAAGAAAATTATAACTATAAAGATTATATTGTCATTATTACCTTGAGAGGCCACTTATGCTCCTATTTCTGCCAATTAGGTCAGAATTCATAAATGTGGGTTTAGGGTTTCTTAATGCAAAACAAATGGTTTATATCAGTGGTTCTCAACCCTTTAGTCTCAAGACTTAATACTTTATAAATTAAGAATTCTCTCCAAGAAGTTATGCCATTGTACTGTGACTAAAGCTGTTAACTGCAAAGAATTCATTCATTTGTAATAAAGGTAGAATGGTTTGGCGAGATGGTTCAGTGGAAAAAAAGTGTTAACCACACAGCTTGGAGGACCTGAGTTCAGATCCCCAGAATCACACAGTCGGATGTGGAAATGCCTCTCTGTAATCCCAGCACTCTGATGGTGAGATGGGAAGCAGAGGCAGAAAAATCCCTAGTAACTTGTGGGCAAGCTAGCCTAGTGTATACAGTGGTGAACAAGCTAGCCTGGTGTATGCAGTGGTGACAAGCTAGCCTGGTGTATACAGTGGTGAACAAGCTAGCCTAGTGTATACAGTTGTGAACAAACTAGCCTGGTGTATACAATGGTGAACAAGCTAGCCTGTTGTATGCAGTGGTGAACAAGCTAGCCTGGTGTATGCAGTGGTGAACAAGCTAGCCTGGTGTATGCAGTGGTGAACAAGCTAGCCTGGTGTATGCAGTGGTGAACAAGCTAGCCTGGTGTATGCAGTGGTGACAAGCTATCCTGGTGTATACAGTGGTGAACCAGAAATCGTGCCTACAACAAGGTAGAAGGCAAGGGCTGACAGTGAGGTTGTCCTTTGATCTATACATGCGGGCCATGCACAATCCCATGTCTGTGCTCACACACACTTACACACATGAACAGGCACACATACACACTACACACACAGCATACACACACACACACACACACACACACACACACACACACACACACCATACTAATTTAAAGCGTTCTTTTTAGTTTGTGGGTATTTGTGTATGTACATTCACTGCACACCTGGTGCTTAGAGGCCAGAAAAAGGCTTGAGATCCCCTGCAATTGGAGACAGAGACTGTTGTGAGCCTCTAAATGTAGATGCCTGAAATCAGACACAAGTCCTCTGCAAAAGCAAAAGTGAGCTCAACTGCATGCCAGCCCCATGCCTTCATTTGTCTCTGCATCCCAAGCGCTTGTATTAAAGGCATTGCTATAAATTTTTAAAAATAAAAACAAGGGCCCTAGCTCAGAGAGAGACCCCATCTCAAAAGACAAGGCAGCAAGCAGTGAAGGAAGGTACCCAATGTCAGCCTTTGCCTTCCCCACACATTCATTTGTACCTGCACACACACATGTGAATACATAATCACACTTAAACAAGTACATGAAAAATAGTAAGCTGGGGGTGGTTGTGAGATGGAGACAGGAGGATCAAGAGTGCAAGGTCAACCTTGGCGATAGAGTGAGTCTTAGGTTAGCGCTGGCTACATAAGCCCATCTTTAAAAAACACAAAATAAAACAAACATAAAGCTATTAAATAAGATATGAGTCACAAAAAATAATTATCTTCTCATAACAAAATGAGACATTTTTTAAAATTATCTTTCATGTCTGGCCTACTAGACAATGAAATTGTATTCGTTTCTACCTACAATCTGCGGCCATATATATCTTCTTTCACATATATGAACAAGCCCTGGCCTCCGAGGCAATGTAACTGTACAAGGGATACACCATTAATGCCATTTTCAGGTAACTATGAGTATTCTTTGATGACTGTCTTAGATAGGGTTTCTATTGCTGTGAAGAGACACCGTGACCACGACAATTCTTATAAAGGAGAACATTTAATTGGATTATCTTACATTTTCAGAGGTTTAGTCCATTATCATCACGGCAGGAAGCAAGGCAGAATGCAAGCAGCCATGGTGCTGGAGCTGAGAGCCCTTACTTACATTTTGATCCAAAGACAACAGGAAGTGAACTGAGACACTGGGTGGTATCTTCAGTATACATGAGACCTCAAAGCTGGCCTCCACAGTGACACACTTCCTTCAACAAGACCACACCTATTCCAACAAAACATACCTCCTAATAGTGCCACTCCCTTTGGGGGCCATTTTCTTTCAGATCACCACCATGATTTATCAAAAATTGACAAATTGCAGTTTCTTGAAGGTTAGTTATTTGGAATCCCATCTATCAACTTTTCATATTTTGTGGCATATTGAAATCTATTGGTCTGCCTTGACCTTGAATGGATCTCTTACCCTATACATGATTTTGTGACACAATTTTATTATCTGAAAAACATTGAGTCACTGAGCTAAGAGAGAGATATCTTTCAAATGTCAACAGTTTCCATTAGATGGCAATTTTTTAAAGTGCACTCATTAGTATCACCATTGATCTCATCAGAAAAGATTTAAGTATTGACACTGTCAAGGTCCTAGCCCGTTTCTTAAAATTAATCTCAGAAATTATCATTGGCAACAATAAGTATCCCTTGTTTTCTTGGAAGTGACAGGAAAATCTTACTTTTGAAAAAGGCTGCCCAGAGCCAGGTGGTGGTGGCACACACCTTTAATCAGAAGCAGGCGGATCTCTGAATTTGAGGCCAGCCCAGTCTACAGAGTAAGTTCCAGGACAGCCAGAGCTACTCAGAGAAACCCTGTCTTGAAAAAATAATATAAATACTTTTTTTTTTTTTTTTTGGTTTTTCGAGACAGGGTTTCTCTGTGTAGCTTTGCGCCTTTCCTGGAACTCGCTTGGAGACCAGGCTGGCCTCGAACTCACAGAGATCCGCCTGGCTCTGCCTCCCGAGTGCTGGGATTAAAGGCGTGCGCCACCACCACTTTTTTTTTAAAGAAGCCTTTCCAGTATCTATCTGAATAACCAGTGCGTCCATCTTACTTTCGTGTTAAACTAATGTACTGTGGAAGTAAAAATAAACCCCTTGGGCTGGGTGGTGCACACCCCGGTAATCCTAGTACTGGAGACCCTAAGGCAGGAGTAGGGGTAGGTTGAAACCCGCCATCACTACATAGCTAGACTCTGTCTCAAGAAACAAGCCTCCTCCCAAAGCCAACAAAGACCAACAATGCAACCACAAATTCAGCCCAACTCAAACACAGAACATTTTTCCTAGAGGCAAATATGGCCTGCAACGGCTCTGTTTTACCCACACTTTCTACTCCCCCCCCCCCATTATTTTAAAAAGCATGCCCGGGGAATGAATTTTAACAAAATTAGTAATTTTATCAAGTGGCACCTGGCTTTAGCTGCTTGTCAGGTTTTCCAGTGAATGCACAGCAGCAAAAATACACTGACTGGTGGGACACTTTGGGGCCTGCCTTGGTTCAGTGTCTGTGCACCGTCTTCAGTGTGCACACATCACACAGGTCTCAGCATTGTCATGGACAGTCCTAATATTGCAGGCTTCTGAGAGCCTCAAGGAATCCCTCATGGATTTTGGGGTGCACCCTTTAAGGATCCCCAGAGTTCTTTTTTTTGGAGTTATTATGTTTGATTGGGTTTGGTATCGAAGGGCCAAAGAAGAGCTATGCCAAGGCGTGGACCACATCCAAGAAGGAAATGTACACTACTCAAAAGCTCCTGTAGGAAGAAATAGCAGGAAAAAAACCCGCTCCAGAAAGCAGGCCTGGGCTTCTCGTTGCCAAGGCGACGATCCTCTGGGAGAAGGCCCGGCCGTCGATTGGCGAAGCCTAGCCTGGGTCCCCAAGAGCCGGAAAATCGCCCAACTGCGGTCGCTCGCTCGGCGGTCGATTGAGGGGGCTTCCTGGAGGCCCGGCAAGAGGGCGGGTGGGAAGATGGCGGCCGCGGCTGCTGGCGGGCCGCCTGGGAAGGGACACGATATCAGCCTGGCGGCCCTGCGACGCCACGACCCCTACATTAGTCGCATCGTGGATGTGGCCAGCCAGGTGGCTCTGTACACTTTCTTCCATCGGGCCAACAAGTGGGTGCGTGCGGGCGCGCGGACGGCGGGGCGGGGCGGGGACGGGGCGGGGGCTGCAGGGCATGGATGCAGGGCGGGCGGGGCCCGATCCCGGTGCTGGGCGGTCTGCGCGACCCACCGCCCAGGTAGGGAAGACGGATAAAGGTGTGGGCGGCACCGCTAAGAGCCCGGCCCCAGGCCTCGAGGCCGACAACAGAAGCGCTCCGGCAGCTGAGGGCGGAGCGGAGCCCCAAGTCCAGCCTCGCCGAGGTGGAGATGCCAGAGTCAGAAATGTAGGGCAGGGAACCCCCTAAGAGCACGCTTGGGGGAATCAAGAGGAAATGGGTATGCGTGGGACGCTCCGGACTTTGATGCAGAGTCCATGGTTGGTAGCCTAACCATTTCAGTGCATTTCAAAAGACCGAACCCCAGCCTACAGTAGTAACTGGATGAAGTTTAGTTTCCCTCACATCTAGAATGGAATTGGAACGGGAGACAAATAAGTTCCGGCCCAGGTATTGATTCATAGAATTTATAAACCATACCTTTGCATATAAAGGTGCCATTTCCCCCTTTTTTTGTGACTTTTGTACCAAATATTATTCACCAGTATACAACCATTGGTCTTAATACGGTTCAGTGGGGTATGAAGAACAGCTTACAAGGATTTCAAATGATTTTTTTTTCTGTGTTCGCCAAGTCCGAAACAAACATCAAAATTTATGCAAGGAAAACTTTGATTATTGAGGAAATTCAGCTTTAGGTAGGCTGTTATAAGAACGATCCGGAAACCAGAAACAAAAAGGATGAAGACGGAAATGGAGATGGAGCTTGGGACAGCACCTGGTTCCATACCCAGCACTCCTGGAAAAAGGCCAGGAATTATTAAGATAGTTGCAAAGAATATTTGTCTGTTCTCCTAGTAGCCAAACCCGAAGGAGAAATGTGCAGAGTTCTAATGTTCAGGGTTCTGAGTATTCCTGGCTCGATTAACTAAGGCTGCTTTTCACGGTCACCAGAGGAAATTACCATTTGGGTCTTTAAATAGGTGCTTTACTTCTCTCTAGAGCAGTGGTTTCCAACTTTCCCAATGCTGCGCCCCTTTAATACAGTTCCTCATGCTGTGGTGACCCCCAACCATAAAATTATTTTCGTTGCTAATTCATAACTGTAATTTTGCTACGGTTATGACCGTAATGAAAATAATTTTGGAGATAGATGTGTGTCAGGTCGCAACCACGTCTCTAGAGCTGCATAATGTTATTTGGAAGTAATTCTGTAGTATAGAGTAGGGCCCAATAAAAGTTAATGGTGTAAGTTGACTCAGCGGGAGGCTCCGTACAGAAGATCAGAAGCTGTTCAAATGTACAGTGGAGCATGCCCCCTTGGGTGGCCCGCTTCCTAAAGCCCCTTCACAGTTCTGTATGACAGAGACCTTTAAAAGGTCTTTTTACCTTACCTAAGCGTACCAGATACTCAGCGAGGTCCGGCATCAGAGGTGTCCCAATGCATTATTTACAGGAGTTTTGTTTTCCTGCCTCCTGGATTTGTTTTCTCCAGATGGGGCATAATTCATTCAGTAAAAGGTCATTCTTTCAAAGTACTAATCTTCTAGGCTGTGTGGTTGCCTGGCAAAGGAGAAAGACCTAGTTCAACAACAGAGCAGTCAGTGGGGACAATCAGATTGTCCCTGCTGTTCCCCTGTGCTATCACTCCGATCTCTGGAGGGGAGCCTTTCGAATGTCAGCTTAATCAGAAGTGTAAGAATATTCTTAAGAATGAAAGAGAAAGTATTGCAAGAAGGCAGGTTGGGTATGAGCAGAGGAGTCCTCCTTACATTAGAAATCAACGTCAGGTGAGGAATGGCGGGTGCAGAGGATGAGTTCCTGTAAAAAAAAGATCAAGGTACTGCAGATAGAGCACAGTGGTAGAGCATGTGCTTAGCATGTGCACAGCTCTGGTTTTATCCCCAAGGCACACACATACTCACACAAAGGATTAAGAGTTTTGCCATGACTAGAATAGGAATTTTAGAATGATATTTACTCCTTTTTGCCAGGAAAGACTCCTTCCCTGAAATACTCTATGTGTCGACAAAAGACTATTGCTGGTACTGTTTTTACTTTGCAGTCAGACCATGTGTTCTCAACTGGATTTGATTACCACCCTCCCCGCACACACACACACACACCCTGGTGACATTTGACAGTATCAGGAAACTTTGAGGATGAGGGTGTTGGTGATGAGGGCATTGCCAAATGCCTTGCAGTGAGCAGGCGTTGTATAGCGAGTCCTGAACATGAGCAAGGTGAAGCTGGCGCCATGGTTTAGAACCACAGGTGTCCCTTGTTTCTGGTTAACAGCCCTGAGGTCCCTGTGCAGCACAGTAGCGGTTGAGAGGGGCGATTGAGAGGACGGTGCCACAGATTGGAGCTCTGGATAAGACCTAGACGTCGGGAAAGAGACAAGCTGCCTGGATAAGACCTAGACGGCGGGAAAGAGACAAGCTGCCGAGGTGGCTTTGCTGTCACGTGTGCAGTGGAGAGAGAAAGTAGACCCACTTTTTATTATCTTAGAATATTCCGTAAAATAGAAATTGCTTTCAATTGTTCCAGATGTAGCAATGTATTTACTTCTAATAATTTATGAAACAGCATTATTTATACTCTTCATTATTTCAAACACTGAACTGTGTGTGTGTGTGTGTGACACCTTTATTTTTAGAGTTTAGGCTAAAATACTCCAGAACTGTGTACTTACATTTTTACTTGAAGGATTTGAGGAGAGCTCCTGTTTTACTATTTGCCATACCCTAAATTCACTGCTTTGTACAGAAAGTAAAAAAAAACAACAACAACAAAAAACAAAACAAAACAAAACAAAAACAAAACCAGTTTGAGCCAGCACAGCTCCAACAGCAAATACCTTTCCAGAGCTCCTTTTAGCCAAGTGAGAGCTCTTAAAATGTTTTGTTTTGTTTTAATTGAAAGACTTGAGTTGAGGGTGAGACAGGAAAGTCAGTGAATTATCTCAGTGTGAGCTGGCAGAAACCTCACTCCTGCCTCATATTGTAATCACTGAGCCATAGTTCCTTCCCATGAGCAACTCCAAACACAACTCAAGTTTGAGAATTGTTTTTGTGAGTTATAGTTACAATTCTGATTTTGGATTATTCTAAACTAAAATAAGGGATTAAAGTTTTTTGGTTTTGAAGTAAAGAAAATTTTTGTTGCGGCAAAAAAATCAGTTGGAAGCAGTTAGCATATATGTGCTGATAATATGAATGATCTGATTTGCATTCCAAGGAGAACAGGCCCAGGTCAAATACTGCAGAGTCGGAAACTGTTTGGTCTTGGTCCCTGCACAAGGAGCCTGGCCGTGTGTGCGCAGAGGTCCCTGCACGTCTCTGCTTCAGTTCCCGTCAGTGTGACTCAGAGTACCAGATGCTTGACCTGGACAGCTTCCTTTTAAAGTGTTGTCGAGTACCTAAGCACTACCAGCTATGCCAGTTCAGCTCTGAAGGGGTGTGCGCCGAGGCCTAGGAATGTGCATTTCTAAGGGCTCCCACATGACGATGCTGCTTCTCATCTGGAGACTTCTCTCCAAAACCCACTGCACTAAGTCTCTGAGAAAACAGCTGTACTCAGGTAGATTACTTGAAAAGATCATGCTTTCGATTCTGTGCCTTTAAAAAAACATCATTCTAACTTTACATCTTTTTCTTAAAGTGTATATCTTGCATCCAAATTATACAGTACTTAGTTTTAAATAATTTGAGTAATAAATATTTTAAAATATTGGGGCCTTAAATAGGATACTAGAATGCTAAAATTAAGTGATGTAAATACCAAAAGCACATATTAAATTCTGAGTTACAATAATCTGATTACTAGTTAAACAGAAGAGCCGCGTGTGCATTGTGTGGGTGAGCAGGATCCCTCCTGTCTTGGAGATGTGGAAGGGATGCCAAAGAAGTCAAGCTCTCCCTATAACTGGACTACCTCAGATTTTCTCTGGCAGTTCTTGAGTCCTAACTTGGTAATATTTCTGTGTAATGTTATTTCAAGTCTTTGGCCAAAGTGACTCTGCACATTTCATGCCAAGAAGGTATTTGTTCACTTGAAGACTCTAGCATAATCCTTGTCTGTCTAGCAGTCAGAGCACAGGTTTTGACAGATCACCTGGTCTCCTAGTGACACAATATGACAATGAACACAAGATGAAGTGAAGGGTAATGACGGACAGGTAACAGTTAATTTGACAGCTTGTGGGCATGCAGTTAGGTGGATGGAGGAGAAGGCTACACACTTACCATCTCCTTCTGATGAAGTCTGGAACACACTTCTCCACTCCAGCCAGGCGGGCCACTCCGTGTGTGTTTGGGAAAGAGAAGAGTGACCAAGTGCTGCTCACTCAGCAGGCCCTGGTCATGTCAAACCCATGCCTCCCCTTCCTGGTAGCCCCTCTGTTGTGTCCCGGCACTTCGCCTACTTGAAATTGCATGTGGTTTCCTGGTATTCTGTAAGAAGTTCATGCTTTCTGCCAGAGAATGAAGAGAGAATACATATGGTATGTGTTTGCTTTATTTTTAGGAGAAGACTGATGTGGAAGGAACCTTATTTGTTTATACAAGGTAAGAATATTTTATTTTTAAAAAAAACCATTTTTGAAATAATGTTTTAGCTTAGTTTTGTCATATATTAAAGGGCAGTTTTATTTCAAAGAAGTACAACAACCAAATCTATCTGAAATTACTAGTTGGCAAGAGGAATAAAATAACATATAATGTGACCTGGTACATTCTGATGGTACTAATTTCAGGATGTATTTCCAACTTAAATCTTAATATTTGGTTTAGCGGTACATATCCATCGTCTGATTCCAGTGAATGGCACACAGTTTGGGAACACTATGCGCTGCCAAGAGATTAGAGGTCCACTGTTAGCTAAATTAGGCAGTGGTTGGAAAGGGCTGTGTGGCTCACCTTCCCTCACCCTTAACTGCTTAAAAAAGCATGCCCCAGGGTTGAATCTGTCTCTCAGTCTTCCATTGTCTAGTTAATAATGTTTCAGAATTAATTTCATTAATAAGCTCATGCTTTTAATAATTTCTTTTTTATCAATACCATTAGCATCACACATGCACGCAGACACACAGTATATATATTGTCTTAATGACTACATTTTATTCATGCAAATTTCCACATAAGTATCTTACTTGAATTCTGTTACCTAGGGGGAGTACATAGATGAAATACAAAACTAGTATACACCCTGATTGAGGTAACAATTTTACTGGAGGAAAAAGTATACAAACATATTTACCCATATTCAAGTTTAAGATAAACACAATGCAAGATAAACCACCCCAAGAACTGGTGGCTGTAAAAGCTGCACTGGGCTGCTGTGCTTGTGGGAGCATTGCAGAATGACAGGTCTTGGGTTGGGCTTCAGGGCAGGAAGTCCCAACAGAAAGAAAGGCAAAAGTAGACACAGCCTCCTGTTTAAAGGGACAGTGGGGATTTGCTCTGGTGTAGAGGGTTTATATTAGCCTAAGTGATGCCATTAGCATAGAATGGCAGACTAAGGATTCTGAAGTTTATTTTTCCAGCAGTAGGGAGTAACTGAAGGCTTGTGAACATGAGGATGCTTAATAAGCTGTGAGAAAATGTGTGGAGAGTCAGTGTGTCAGCATCATGAGGAGGCACTTGTTCTAAAAGAAACTGGAGTTGGGCAGGATGTTAGGAGGATGACTGCAATGAAGTAGCTTGGCGTTGGGACCAAATTAACTGAAGCTGAAATGGAAGTGCATGGCTAGAGAGCACGGTGACATTGACACATAAGCCTCTAGGTACATGGCGGTGACTGATCTGAATGACAAAATCTTTAGTAGAACCGAAGCAGCCCGGGTGGTGGGGGTGGTCAAGGATCTGGGGCCTTCAACTTGATCTCTTCGTGAAGTTCACCCCCCGACACCCAGGCCTTTGCTCTTCAGGGTTTTGAAGTAACACTTTTGCAATCGTCTCGTTGAGTTCAGGTTAAGGAATCTTGGCACTTGGTCATCTTTGGAGAGTTTGGCATTGTCTAAGAGGAGTATCAAAGGGAAATAGATATGCAATTGATGGTTGAATTTAAGGCCCATAGGGCCATAGACAGCAGAACTAGAATAGCCTTAAGAGGCCAGTGGGGGCGTAGTACAGGAACAGTGGAGGGAGGGTGTCAGCTGCCCTGTCATCAAGGGGGAGGGCGTGCAAAGGATGAATGGCTAGCCAGGCTACAGGCAACAAGTAAGTCAGATGTTTGGGGTTCTGAATCTCCAAGAGTATTAGCATATTAGTCCGTGTTATATTCCAGATCATTCCAGAAGCACCCAGTGGATTTGTTCAGCATGAGTACTCCAGAAAGAAAAACTAAAGCACAATGTGTATTCTTTCTCATTTCTGAGAAGGATTATTTTGAGGAGAGAGATAGATTAATATATATTAGTGATGGTTTTAAAGACTTTTCTGCTGAATTATACATTTATTTTCTCTTTTGTACCCAAACCAAATATAGCTTTGTATTTTCGGGTATTTTATTTTTGAGATGGTGTCTCATGTAGACCAGGTTGGCCTCAAACTAACTAACCATATAGCAAAAGATAGCTTTGAACTTGTGAATTACAGCCATGTGCCAGTTTTATGTAATGCTGGGAATGGAACCCAGGGCTTTGAGCATGCTAGGCAACTACTCTACCCACTGAACTACAACCCAGCACTTAAGTACTTCTTAATGTACTCCACATTGCTAACAGAATGATAAGTTACACCATTGAACTGAGAAAAATAATCCTTCCCTGTTTCTTTATCTGGTTCCCCAAACTGTCTCATTGAGATAACCTCTGCAGCTTCCTCCCCTTCCACACAGGCATGGGTGCCTGGTCTAGAGAGGTCTTTTTCCCAGTGTGGAATGACAGCAGTTTGAGCTAAGTTAACAAAGCTGTCTATGGTACACCTGTGCTTGTCTTTCAGAAGTGTTTAGTGTACCTGACATCTTTGTTTCTGGGCCTGTTGAATAAACTGTGCTGTAGTCCCATACCGTTTATGCCATAAGATGTTATGCTATTGAAATACATGAAGATATTTCATCCCGCATCAAGAAGTATTTCTCCTGCCTCCCCATGTCTTCCTCTTTGTGATAGAGTTCGTGGAGACATAGTCACTAGAATTTCTGAATTTCATGTCCAGGGCCCTCTGTCAGTCTTCCAAGTGCATTTTCCTCTCCTCTTAAGTTTAAATAGAAATGACTGTTTGGGGAATTGAGGCTATGCCTGTCAGTGCTTTACCTCTTTGTAGAATAAGCTCATCAAAGATTGCCTTCCATCAATTCAAAGGTTGGGGCTTTAAAAATAAAATCCTTTAAGTGGTAAAGTAGCAATGTTGTACTTTATCAGTATAAAGGAGTTAAAAGAGAAATAAAACTGATTTTCTTCCTGTTTGTTACTGCTAACCCCAGCAGCCTAGCTTAACTTGAATGAATGAGTGCTGCTTGCTTTTGTTAAATGAGGATGTTGTACTTAGGTGTCACCAGAAGTTTCTTGGTTGAATTATGATGTGGCTGTCACCTCAGCACAGGCAAATGGACACATGATTGTTAGTTTACACTGTGTATAACATGGGTCCCTGTGCCTGACAGATGGGGCATTCAAGATTTATTGAATGAATGAAAAATGAAACTCACTAAAGGTCACTTTTTCACTGAGAGAAGTTTTATAGTAGCTTGTCCAGGAAGCGGTTGGCTTTGTATTGAAGAGAATGCAGCGTCCGCCCTGCAGGCTGTTACATGACCTTAGTTTGTACCTCGTCTCACAGGTTCGTTGACAGAGTTGCCTCATTTTCCTGAAGTTCTCAATTCCAAACTAGCATTTACACTTTCAATGAAAATTATCTTTTTGTAATGATGTATATGCTTTTAATTCTGAAACCCTTTGAAAGTATCTAGGTTTTGTAAAGATTTATTTGTGTATTTTATGTATTTGAGTGCTCTGTCTTCATGCACACCAGAAAAGAGAATCAGATCCCATTACAGATGTTGTGAGCCACCACATGGTTTCTGGGAATTGAGCTCAGAAACTCTAAAAAAGCAGTCAAGTGCTCTTAACCACTGAGCCAACCCTCCAGCCCCTGCCACTGAGATTTTTAAAAGCAATTACCGTCTTTGTCTTAAAGGAATGTACAGTATAGGCAGGGAGATAAGATATACACACGAAATATGCACAGCCTCGCGTACAGTTAAAAACAATGACCTTAAGGACAGTCTGTGGTGCATAGATGTTGGTATGAGATCCCAGGAGTAAAGCAGTGGTGCTTCCTATGTGTGCAGACTGCTTGTGAGAAACAATGTACACAGCAAAGTTAACAGACACGTCAGAATGTGGCTATACTGCAGGTATGCTATGCTTAGCAATGTCTTTCCCTGCTCCGTGATTTCCAGGTCTGCCTCTCCAAAGCACGGATTCACCATTATGAATAGGCTCAGCATGGAAAACAGAACAGAACCCATTACTAAAGACCTGGACTTCCAGCTCCAGGACCCTTTCCTTCTCTACAGAAATGCCACATGTGAGTCTCTCAATACAGTGGTAGTCATTATTTCTGAAGTCCAGCCAAATGTTGAAAGCTGTGTTTAGTATCAACAGCTAGGGGGTTAGCATTTATTAGCTTGGAAGTGACTTTTTTCTTAGAAAAGTTCAAGTGAGAGTTTCCTTAAGCCCTGTCTTGAGCAGCTCTTCTGCCTATAGAATGAACCAGTCATTGACTTCAATCCTAATCAGGAATTGGGGGAGGTGAGTACTTGGTCAGGAGACAGGAGAGGGACAAATGGGTGGCATCACTGAACACAGAATTAATTAATAATTTGGTAGGTGCCAGTTTTCCCTCATGTGTCACCCCTGACCAAGCACAGTAAAGAGTGATTGAGGAAGAGGGTCTGTATTTTTGAATATGTAATCATTAAAAAATCAAAGTCCAAGGAATTTTGTTCTTTTGAGTCTCTTAACTGTTTGTAATGGTGAGATAGTGGTAGGTAACTGAATGGTCCTTGATGGACTTGAGATGAAGTAGCAGTTGCTTGTATAGAATTCTGTCCTCATCTCAACCTTGGGTCTTATCTGACACCTGTGTCAGACTAGAGAGAGACCAATGAAGCTGTCAGCTTCAGGGCATCTTCACCATAGGACCATACTGCTTGAAAGGTAAGTATGCACCTGCTCTTCGGCTTTGTGGGTAACTTTCAAAGAGACTTTGCAATCTAGTAATGGTTTCAACTCTTTGAGTTTAAGATACAGGAAGTTGATACTAGGGAGATGGTTCAATTGGTAAAGAGCTTGAAACATGAGGACCTGAGTTCAACACGCTAGCGTGAGCATACACACACACACACACACACACACACACACACACACACACACACGCAAAGCCAGGGGTTGCTGTGTATATTTGTAATTCCAGTGCTGGGAGGCATAGTCAAATGAGTCCCCAGAGCTTGCTGACCTGCCAGGCTAGCTGAGACTGGGAGCTTTAGGTTCAGTGAGAGACCCTACCTCAAAAACTAAGGCAGCCAACAAAATGATACAGCAGGCAAAGACCTTTGCTGCCAAGCCTGACAGCATAAGTTTGATCCCTGGAATCCACATAAAGAGTTGTCCTCTGACCTACACACACACACACACACACACACACACACACACACACACACACACACACACACACGCATACAACACACAAACACAAAAGAGGCTAAGGAGATGGCTTGGTATTTAAAGTGTTTACACACATGGGACCTGAGTCTGGATCCCTAGCACCCAAATACTAGTCCAGTGTGGTGATATGTGTCTGTTGCCCCAGTACTGGGGGGCAGAGACAGACAGGTCCTGGGTCTTGTGCCCATTCAGTCTAGCCTAAATGGTTAGCTGCAGGTTCAGTGAGAGAACCTGTCTTTAAAAAAAAAAAAAGTGGAAATGTAGAGGAAGGCATCTGACATCGGCCTCTAGCCTCTATACACTCCTGCATTGGTGAGCACACTTGAACACATGTGCACACACATACACTACACACCTCCTTACACACACAGAACTTGCCTGCTGTATACTACTCAAAATTTTAATAATGTGATTCAAGTAATACTCAGTGATAATCCCAGTGAATAGTTTAAAACTAAATGTAATGAGCCGGGCGGTGGAAGCGCATGCCTTTAATCCCAGCACTGGGGAGGCAGAGCCAGGTGGATCTCTGTGAGTTTGAGGCCAGCCTCGTCTACAGAATGAGATCCAGGACAGGCACCAAAACTACACAGAGAAACCCTGCCTCAAAAAACAAAACAAAACAAACTAAACTAAATGTAACACTACATTAAATATGATGCTATATTTAATTGTACATAATTAGATTGTCATGATAAATGTCTAATCCTTAAATATTTATGAGAAAAAAAGAGCTATTAAAACTGCAACAATGAAAAAAAAACCTGCAACATGACTTACCAGTAGTATGCCCTATGAAAAGAAAGGTTTTGCAATATTTTTAAAAAATGGTTTGTTGCTGTTTCTTCACTGTGTGCTTACAGTTATGTCAAAATTTACATTCTTTCTTTAAAGCATATCATTTGGCTAAGGAGCTATCTCAGTTAGTAAAGTGTGTGCTGTGTAAACATTATCACCTGAGTTTGATTCCCCAGAACCCACTGAAAAAGCTGGGTGTAGTGATGTGTGTGTGAAATCCTAGGAAGCTGGGACAGGAGGCTCCCTGGGGCTCACTGGCCAGTCAGCCTAGCTTGTAAGGTGGTGAGCTCCAAGCCAGAGAGCCAGTCTCAAAAAACAAGGTGGCCAGCTTCTTAGAAAAAATGACACTAGCTCCAGGACACCCAGGGGTACACAGAGAAACCCTGAAGACGCTAACAGTAGATGTCTGGCTCGGACACACCAAAACACTATGTCCTGTGTCAAATTAGCTTATTGAAATGCTAATAATGAAGCCACAAAAATGAGTGTAGATAGATGGCTCTGCAGTTTAAGAGCATTGGCTGTTTTTCCACAAGTCCCAGGTTCAATTCCCAGCACCCACATGGCAGCTCACAACTGTCTATAACTACAGTTTCCGGGGATCCAACACCCTCTTCTAGCCTCCATATGGACCAGACATGAAGTGGTGTGTGTGTGTGTGTGTGTGTGTGTGTGTGTGTGTGTGTGTGTGTGTGTGTATGTATGTAAAATAAACCTTTAAAAGTGAATATAGAATAAATGAGTACTAGTGACCTATCTTAATCATTCCTGGTCACTCTTATTTTTGGACAAATAATTGATCTAGTCACTATAGATATTTTGAGTTCTTATATATTGCATTATGTCATAGACAATACCAAAAATAGAAAATTTCTTTAATACATTGATTTTAAAAAATACCTTTCCTATGTCTCCCAGGGCCTGTGTGACAGAAAATGCTGTGTGGAGTTAGTGAGCACACAGGAAGCTAGGTATGTCCAGGACAGTGATGAACAGCCACCTGGGACTGTTGACCTTGAAGTGTAGCTTGTCTGAAGGAACAGGATTGTGTGTTTAAAGCACACATTTTCAGAGTCTTAGCACAAAAAGGGAGAAAGAAAGAATTTTTAGAAATCTTATAATTTTATATTGATTAGCATTTTGAAATGATACTATTTTGGATAATAGGGCTAAATAAAGTGTGTTATTAAATTTACCTTTACCTGCTTTTTTGTCATTTCTAATGTAAAATATCAGGCATGGTTCGTACCTGTGGGTCTTGTACTGATGAGCCAGCTCTGTTCTCACTGGCATTTTACAGATGAGAAAAGCGAAGTTTGGGGAAGTGAGAGCAGCCCAGCATGTGTAGCTACAGCCTGACCCTGGCTGCTATTCCACACCCTTGCTCTGCCTCCCCTGCAGTTAAGCATGACTGTGAATGGAAGTCAGTCTTTGGAATGAATGTGTGCTTGTTTCTAACAAGCCCTTATACAGAAAAATGAAATCAGTTGAGCAGAGATTTGAAGGCAATGTCTTGGCCCTCTCCTGCATTCATTTTGCTCCATTTTGTTCTCCTCGACATTGGGTGCTGATTGCCTTTGAGTCCAGTTGTTTGATCTTGGCTTATTTATCAGAGTTTCTCAGTCTCTGACATCCAGTCCACAGAAGGTTTATCATGTCGGCCATCAGGGTCTGGGTACCTCTCAAATGTTTCTTACAGCTCAGATGATTATGTGCAGTTGTATATGGCTTTCTAATCCTCTGATAATGCCCCTTTGGCCAGGCAGCCTCGCTTCATGCAAGGTTGTTTTCATGGTGACTGCCTCCTTGGGGTCCATATGTACCTCCAGAGGCCCTTGGCCTTCTGCTAGCCGCACAGCTCATGAGTAATATCTGCCATTGCAGTAGAGTAGAGCTGGACTGCTTCATGGTGAGTTTTCTCAGATAATTTTTTTAGACTCATCAGAGGAAGAAAAAAGTCAATTAGGTGAATCTAGAAGAGCAAAATAAGAAAATAGAAAAAAAAATCCCAAACTCTCTTCATTTAATTAGTAAAAAAAAAAATTTGATAAATAATTTTGAATTTTAATCAAACAGATAATAAATTACTTTATTGTAGAAAAAGGTTTATAATCTGAGCTTTATTGGAGTTTATTGAATGATATTTGACCTAAGTGAGCTTTCATGTGTGTGTGTGTGTGTGACATATGGATGTGCAGGGCTGTACACCTGTGAATGTATGCAGAGACCAGAGGAAGATGTCAGAAATCTTCCTCTATTTTTTCTGCCCTCTTCCTTTGAGACAGGGTCTCTCACTGTACTGGAAGCTTGCTGTTTTCTTTAGGATGGCTGGCCCACCAGCTCCTGGAATGTGCCTGTCTTTAATACCTCCCCTCCTCCCTCCTTGGGTTATATTCATGCACAGCCATGCACAGCTTTTTAAAATAAGATGTAAAAAGCAAATAAGATAGTTATTAAATCAGAAGTGAAATTGTGTGCATTCATTCATTCAACAAACATTTACTAACTGCTAGGCACTGTATTGGATTTTATATGGGTTATCCTATGAAATTCTTGTAACTTTTTCTTGGAAATTCTCTGTTTTCTGTTTTATCAATGAGGATAATGGGTATGGAGAGACAGCTCAGCAGCTAAGAGCACTAGCTGCTCTTCTAGAGGACCTAGTTAATTCCCAGTACCCACATGGTGGCTCACAGTAGTCTGTAACTTCAAGGGGCTCCAACTTTCTCTTCTGGCGTCTGTGGGCACCAGGCATACAAGTGGTGCACAGATCCACATGGAGGCAAAACAGCCATACACTTACATTTTTAAAAATTATAAAAAGTCCAAAATATTTTGAATGCTGAAATGACAGTCTAAAGGTTTAGATTTGAGATTTTCAGTTCTTCTCAGCTGGGCTAAGATCAAGTGTAGATTTTGGGTTTTCAGGTTGGAGATGAGTAACAGGTTCTAACAAATGTTCTAACATGAAAAAACAAAACAAAACTGAAATCTGAGAAACTCTGGTCTCAAGTATTTCCCATAAGGAGCATACAGCCACACTACCAGCGTGAGTCCAGCATT